CTGATGCTTAATTCTGGCTTTGAGGGGCTTTCAGGTGTGCTCAGCTGGGCTGGTCCCACCGATGGGGCCTGGGCAGAGTTGGGGGAGAGGGGCAGGAGGTGCCCAGGTGACATGGCCATCTGCACTGGGACGAGGGCAGGCTGGTGACTGTGGGAGATTATGGCTGGTTTGCTTTTAATCTGAGAGGGGATTTGCCTCCAGCGCTGCCGGCAGCCAAGAGGGAGGCAGGGGAGGACATGCCGGGCAGCGGAGCTGGTTCCCCCGTGGTGGCAGCGCTTCTCTCACTTCCAATGCCACCTGAAAACAGCCACTGGCTTTGGAAATGTGGGTGAGGGGGGTTCTCATGGGACCATGGGGCATCTCCCTCTCTCTGCGGTCTGGCTTTGGCTGTTTGGTTGCAGGCTCACTCGGGATGGCCGTGCAGCCCGTGGGAATAGGGCAGCCGCAGCATCTCCCCTTCCCATCCTGGGGGTCCCATCCCCCCCGAGGCAGGGCGCAAACGGGACCAGTTAAACCCGTATTTTGAAGCAAAGGCTGGGCTTTACTTCCATGGCTCTAATCTCCCGCTGGCAAAGGTGGTGGGAGGGAAAGGAAGCGGGGGCTGTTTTATGGAGCTCGGTGCCTGGCTAGCAGGACGGCTGCAGGGTCCCCAGGCTGGGGCAAGTCCTCGGCTTTCAGCCCCTGTCCCTGGCTGAGGCTGGCACCGAGCAACCCTGGGGCACGCGGGAAGGGGGGGACCATGAGCAGGGACAGGCACGAAAGGGTTCACCAGGCAGTGACACCTCCAGTCCTGGGGGCACAAGCCCAGGGTGGTGGCACTGCCGTGGCACAGGGAGCAGCCCGGAGGGCTCCTGGGGCTGCAGCGGGAGATGCAGCAGGACCACAGCCGGGGTTTGGCTTGGCCTCCGGCCACCGCTGGCTCTGGCTGCCCACGTTAGAGCGCTGAATTAAATAAGCCACAGCACGCCAGCTCGCTGGGCAGAAGCACCCAGTGCCTTTTAACCAGCCCAGACTTCGCCCAGGCAGCACTGTGCCCATCGCAGCACCCGCTGCCACAGCGCATCCCCGCACCCTGTGCCAGCACCGTGCCACTGCCACCGGGACACCCACAGGCTGTGCAAAACCTGGCTCTTCCGCCACTGGCTTTGGAAATGCGGGTGAGGGGGGTTCTCATGGGACCATGGGGCATCTCCCTCTCTCTGCGGTCTGGCTTTGGCTGTTTGGTTGCAGGCTCACTCGGGATGGCCGTGCAGCCCGTGGGAATAGGGCAGCCGCAGCATCTCCCCTTCCCATCCTGGGGGTCCCATCCCCCCCCGAGGCAGGGCGCAAACGGGACCAGTTAAACCCGTATTTTGAAGCAAAGGCTGGGCTTTACTTCCATGGCTCTAATCTCCCGCTGGCAAAGGTGGTGGGAGGGAAAGGAAGCGGGGGCTGTTTTATGGAGCTCGGTGCCTGGCTAGCAGGACGGCTGCAGGGTCCCCAGGCTGGGGCAAGTCCCCGGCTTTCAGCCCCTGTCCCTGGCTGAGGCTGGCACCGAGCAACCCTGGGGCACGCGGGAAGGGGGGACCATGAGCAGGGACAGGCACGAAAGGGTTCACCAGGCAGTGACACCTCCAGTCCTGGGGGCACAAGCCCAGGGTGGTGGCACTGCCGTGGCACAGGGAGCAGCCCGGAGGGCTCCTGGGGCTGCAGCGGGAGATGCAGCAGGACCCCAGCCGGGGTTTGGCTTGGCCTCCGGCCACCGCTGGCTCTGGCTGCCCACGTTAGAGCGCTGAATTAAATAAGCCACAGCACGCCAGCTCGCTGGGCAGAAGCACCCGGTGCCTTTTAACCAGCCCAGACTTCGCCCAGGCAGCACTGTGCCCATCGCAGCACCCGCTGCCACAGCGCATCCCCGCACCCTGTGCCAGCACCGTGCCACTGCCACCGGGACACCCACAGGCTGTGCAAAACCTGGCTCTTCCCCCACCGGGAGTGTGCGGATGGGCTGAAAATGAGCTCTTCTATTTTAGCCGCTTTGGGGAGCGGGGCTGTGACCCTGCCAAAACATCGGGGCTCTTGACCTTCGAGAGCCAGAGGCTGCGTTAACCAGAGCCGAGCCAAATCCCAGCAGGGCAGCGATGGCTCAGGGATGGCCATCATGTGCCAGAGCCACAGGCACGGCCACAGCACACACCGGGCTCTGCGCCCACAGGGTCCTCACCAGCCTCAGGGCATCTGGGCAAGGTGGCATCCCTGGCGCTCACGGAGAAAAGGGGCTGACAGCGTCATCAGTGTCGGCCGGTGCCGGATCCGTCCTGTGTGATGGTGCCAATGAGCATGCAGGACGCATTTTGTTTGCTGGGAACCTCAGGGAATTTTGGTTTATTGCTCCTTTTCAGCAGGCGCTCTGTTCAGCCCTTCCCGCACCGCTCGCTCGCTGGGCCTCTGAAGTTTAAGATCTCATTAAAGCTTGGCTTTCCCTTGGCGATGTGACCGTCCTTGACTGGCTTTCCTTCCCTGGGGGCAGGCATTGGTTAAGGCTTTATAATTAGCTGATAATAAGGTGGCTGTGGCTGGAAGGGTGCTTCCTTCCTCTGCCACCCAGCCGTGCCCGGATCGCACCGGCACCCGGCGGAGGTGGCACATTCCTGCCGATGCCCCGGGCGTTCTCCTGCTGGTGCTTCCCGGGGCAGAGCCCGGCATGACTTGAGGGTTTAATGGAAAGATTTTTGGAGGACCTTCCCTGGGAGTAAGCATGGGGTTAGCACAGCCCACTGTAAATGGGGAGGTGAAGCCCCTGGGCCGTGCATGGGGTGTGCCGGGAGCCTGCAGCACCCAAGGGTGCTCCCAGCCCCTGGCAGGGAGACTGGGTGACGGCAGCGTGGTCCTCACCTGCTCTGCCCATCCTATGGGAGCCCCCAGCACCCACTAAACCACGGCTGGGGTCATCAAAGAAAGCCTATGCTCAATTTTCCAGCTTTTCCCCAGTGCTGGGGAAGCTTTTCTGCAAGTTTAAATATAATTTATTTTCCATCCCCTGCTCTCGCCCCAAGTCGGTGCCAGGAAAAGCTCCGGATGACCCTGTTCTCCCCGGCTGTGCTGCTGCAGGCAGCTCCGAAGGCACTTTGCTCTTGGTTTGTTGGGTTTTTTTTCTTCTTTTATTTTTCACGTGGCTGCGTCCTTCACCGGGGAGCTGCCTATAAATTATGTACGTGGAAAATGGGACCAGAAAGCAGCAGGCATCAATAATTGATGGTTGACGTTTCCTAACAGGCGCGCTGCATCCGGGCATCCCTGCGCTTGCGGGGCCTTCGGGTGAAGCTGTATGGCCCCACTCATCCCTCCTGCCTCGGCGTTAGATCCCTTCCCGTCCTCCCCTGCGGGCTTTGGGCTTCGTTTGGGGTTTTAAATGCAATATTAAGGCCTGATCCAGCCCTGGGCAGTTGCTGTATCTGCTGGAAGCCAACCGCAAGCGCTGACTTCAGCCCCACAAGCAGAGCTGCGGCCCAGGCTTGAGTTCCTTTGATCTGGGGACCCCAAAGGTTTATTTTGGAGGTGTCCCCAGGTGGGCTGTGGATGGCTCTGTGCTGTTGGGTTTGGGGTTTTTGTAAGCCACACCCCGTCCCTGTGGCTGGTGGGATGCAGGGCACTGCGTCCGTCCTCCATCCATCGCTTCTCCTGACTCCCGGTGCTTCTGTTCACCCCTCTCCATCCTTGTTCACCTCCCCCTTTCCCTTTCTTTTCCCACCTCTAAGGACAAGTCCCGACCTTCTTACCCCCAGACCTCACGGACAAGGAGCAGGCATGAGTGGGCTTCTGGCCAGGTTGGGAGGAAAATCTCTCTTCTAGTTGAGAAGTGCCTGTCCTGGGGGCTGCTCCCAGCCTGGGGGACACACCGGTGTTTTGGCTCCGTGCTTTACCCTACGAGGGGAGAAGGGATACTGGTCATTGCCCGGTGTTCACTGGGGCAATGTGGAGCACTTTCTGGAGGGGTTGCTGACCTCCTGGAGGGTTTCCAGCCCTGCAAAAACCTCCCTCCTGCAGCTGAGCCTTTCCTAGGGAAGGCTGCAGGCTGAGAACTGACAGAACTCAGTTCAGTGGTGCTTTGCCCACCTTCCCGGTGGCGGCTGCAGCAAAACCAGGCAGGTCTCTGCCTGCGGACGCGTCGCCTCAAATGGCACAGGAGGTGTGTGACGCCGGGCTTTGGGCAGGAGGAACACTGCCCGTTTCGAGGCCTGTGTGCCTGGTCCGTGCTGCCCCTTCCCAGCAGAGTCCGTGGGGTTGCGGGAACCCCCCAGGGGCTCCCAGGGCTTTTGGTGCTCCGGCAGAATGGGCTGCAGCTGCTGCCTCTCCTGCCTCCTCGGGAAGCGAGCTGGTGTTTATGTAAAGGATTAGCGCTGCTCTCCTGCTCTGCCGCCCCGGGAGCCATCTCCCCTTCCTGCTCCCGGACCAGGATTCGGCCGCCCCTGGCAGCGCGGGGATGGTTGAAGGTCGGGATGACCTTGGGTGGCGTGCTCCGGGCTGGGACTCGCAGGGATGTCCCGGGCAGGGAAAGGGGAGCAGGCGCTGCGTTGGGGGAAGGAGGCAGCCGAAGCTCTGGGGTGTCAATCTTCTCCCGGTAAATCCCACTGGATGGAGCAGTCCCCGAGCCGGGCGCCGCCGTAGGGCTGGACCCCCTCCCGGCTCTCTCTGCCCGGGCTTCGGCCATCGTGGTGGCCGGGCAGGGACAGGATTGCTGGCGGGGGGGGGGGGGGGTGGGGGCAGGGAGAGGGGAGGGCAAGCCGGGCAGGCAGAAGGCAGGCAGGAAGGGTGGCTTCTTAGCCCGCTCCCCCTTCGCCTCTGCCCGCTTGGAGCCTGGAATCACGCGAGCTCAACCCGAAAGGCTCCCAGCGAGGTGACCTTGGGGACGAAGCCACCTCCGAGCTATTGATTCGGTGGCTTCGTGCCGCTCCATCGCCTGGTTGAAGCCCCGTCTCTGTGTTTGCTTTCCAGGGAGCTACTTTGCCAACCACTTCATCATGGGCGGCGAGAAGTTCGACTCCACGCACCCCGAGGGTTACCTCTTCGGCGAGAACAGCGACCTCAACTTCTTGGGGAACCGGCCCGTGGTGGTGGGCACCGGGGGGAGAGGGGCTGGGGGGGGCCCCGGCATGCCCCTTCCCAAAGTGGGGGTGCCTGTGTGTGTCATGGGGGCTGCTGGCTTTCACCCCCAACCCCCCAGCCAAGCATACCTGGGGTGGCCTGAGTGGGTTCTTTGATGTCTAATATAAGGGTTGGCTCCCTCGGGGACTAACCAGGGGCTCCTCTCAGCCTGTCTGCCCGTGTCCACGCGCTCCACAGCAACATAATGCTATTGCTCTATCTCTCACCTCGCTGCCAAACTTGATGTGAATAGGTTTGCAGGTGGTTGGGAACGGACCGGGCGATTGCGTGACCTCTGCCTTTGGGTACCGCTCTCTGCAGTGTCCGTGTTGTGGGTCATCGGACCTGCGTGTATTTTCCAACCCGCAAGGGCTGTTTGCATGCACAAACCCACCGCCTTAAAAACATGCGCTGGTGAAGAAGATGGTGAAGGGTGATGGGCTGATTTAGCCCAACTCCTCCTTTCTCA